GCTCGCTCTCAGCGTATTTACACGCACACGCATTTAGGAAGACAGACAGCCTTTGGAAGTTGAAATCCTACTTAGAAAAATGGCAAAGGGAGCCAGGCACCGAAATAACACTGAAAAGAACCCCCCAGGTGGGGACAAGCCGGACGCCAGCCCCGAAGCTGGTGCCGAAGGGGGCGGGGTAGCCCTGAAGAAAGAAATCGGATTGGTCAGTGCCTGTGGTATCATCGTAGGTGAGTTCGATTCCTTTTCCCACCGGCTACTCCTCTCCCTCTCTGGTGGTTCTCCTGTGGGACTCAACCCTTTGAAAGCACTCCTTAGAAAGGGGTTGTCGGTCACCTGTGCTATAATCTACTCCACCTGTCACGTTTGAGCCGTGTAAGAAGTGATATATGTCATACGACTCTTCCTCCAAACCAGGCAAACAGTTCTGTTTTGTGTTCACAGAATGGTGCAAATAGGGGCCACAAAGCTGGCTGATGCTGAGCATTGTCTAAAGGCTTATTAAAAATATAGGTCTCGGGGCTGGCCTCCAACTCACCAGGTTGGATAGGAAACTTGGAGATTCTGACTCGGTAGGTTTAAGGAGTAAGCTTTTAAGCAGTCACCCTTACCAGGCTGTAGACTGGCTTTGGAGTCATATTTGGTAGATATTTTGCTGTTTTATGTTATACAAAACTATGGGATGTGTGATAAAAATAGCAACAACAGGCTGGGTGCGATGGCTCACGCCTGTAATCCTAGCACTCTGGAAGACTGAGGTGGCCTATCGCTGGAGCTCAGGCATTAGAGACCAGCCTGAGCAAGAGCAAGACCCAGTCTCTACTAAAAAGTGGAAGAATTGGCTGGTGGTTGTGGTGAGTACCTGTAGTCCCAGCTACTCTGGAGGCTGAAGCAAGAAGATAACTTAAGCCCTAAAGTTTGAGGTTGCTGTGAGCTATGATGCCATAGTACTCTACCTTGGGCAACAGAGTGAGACTCTATCTTAAAAAAAAAAAAAAACAGCAACAATAATGATTTGCCCTTTGATAGCATTGTCCTTCTCCATGCAGCATATCCACTCTGTGGAGATCATGTGACAGAGCTGTTATTTCCATTTTGCAGATGAGGATATTATAGAAGAAATAATAGCTTGTGTCTTTCTGTAAATGAATAGTTTATGGTTTCTCTAGTTGCCTGGTGGAATCCACGTGTCTTCACACCCACAGTGAACTCTGTGAGGTTCTCAAAGAGTATTAGCAGTTAACTAGAATGTGAAGTTGAGGAATAACTGAGGGTAAAATGTGTATGGCAGCTGGGAGAATCCAACCGTAGGGACCTTTGGTGGCCCTGCGAGTGGCAGAGCAGGCTACTCTAACCCCCACTCTCTACTGACTACACTCTAAGGGCAGGACTCCCTGCTTTGTCTCTAGATAAATACACGCTCCCCTTTCCAGAGACGCCCTGGAGATGAATAACAGGCAGTGGCTCATTCCTACCTGTCACTTCAGAGGGTGATAGTTTCCTCTGCTATCTTTGGTAGAGGCCTTTACCTTCTTCCCAGAGAAAGGAGTGCAGGACAGTCAGCCCCAGGTATGTTTCTGTGTTACTCTCCAGAGTTCCTTTGCAAAGGTGTATTGTGCCCTGGTGTCCCTGAACCAGTTTTTCTGGATGACACCATGTTCTATGCAGCAGCTGGGAGACATTTTGGCACCTGAGAGCAACAGTGACACTGGAGAACACCCTTTAAATCAAATAAAATCAGTACAGAATTCAGATAATCCTCTTCACTTCTACACCCAGATTTCAGTGATCATATTATCCAACCTCTTTTGAAAATGGAATCCCATCATTCTCTGATTCTGGGAAGTTTTCAGGCATCTGTAGTTCTAAGAAAAATACTGGCATAAAAAATTATAGTCATGATCTGAATCTCTCATTACATTTTCTTATTTTATTTTCAGCTTTCTGAATTAAGCAGAACCTTTTCATCTTTGCCTCTCCTTTACTTTATCTCAATTGCTCTAAAAAAGGAGATCAGCCAAGAACTCAATATGTATTGCACATGCTTATTTAAAGTCTATAAATAGCCCAGAGCCTATTACGTCTCCAGTTTGATTGATAGAATTAAGCATTTTCCTCCCTTTGGGAAGGTTCTGATTTATATACAGATGTCCATGGCACTGCAAACAGGATAGTTAAACTTCCTTCTTCCTGTTTCAGCTGCACTCAGTGATCCCAGCATAGGTGAGGTATTCAAGTGTAGAAGATATTTTCCTATATACTGAAGTTTGTGTCTCTTCAACATTTTTTCCCTGAGTCTATGAAGAAATGGGAATGTTCAAGTATAATAAGTACTATTTCAGTGGGGTGAATTGTCCATGACCTCATGGATGGTACTTTAATGTGAGAATTATCCCCAAACTAATAAGAATAGCAACTCTGGTGTTCTGCGGTTAAAAAAAAAAAAAAATGATTCCAATGACCGGGTGTGGTGGCTCACACCTGTAACCCTAACACTCTGGGAGCGGTGGATTGTCTGAGCTTAGGTGTTCAAGACCAGCCTGAGCAAGAGT